GAGACACGAGGAAGGGGGAGGCATACGTGACTAGATCTGTACGGGTACCTCGCCGCCTACTGGGGAGCAGATTTACGTCATTAATTGTGAAATAAGAACAAAATTAGGATTATTCAACAGGAGCAGTTATCGCACCTGAGTCGCTTCTAACGGAATCAATGTGCCATTAAAAATGACATCAGGTACATTGAGGAAAGTTCGTTTTTGAGTCGAGTTGGCATGGCTTGTATTTACAAGTCGATGTTATCGATGATTTGCGCAGCGTCACAACCGTTTTTCACTCACAGTCATGGAAATAAGGCCGAATCGGTGGCGAGATGGAGGGAAGGCAGAGGGGGGAGGAGAGAGGAAGTGGTGAAAGTGGATGAACACAAGAACCGAACAAGTGAGCCCAGTGGGGGGAGGGTTTTCGGGGGGGGGCGGGTTGGAAGATGAAAGCATGAGGGGGGGTTTGAAACAGCCTCGCTCAGTGGGGGGTCGCTATTGCAGCACACAACAAGCTGAAACAAATCGCCAAGAGCCGGTTGATGCCACAAGCGAGGCTCTTCCAAACCGGCGTCATGGTTCAGCATGTGTTGCCGGTGCGGCAGCGGGAACCAGCTGGGGGGCCTTTTTGTACAACGCCGCGTTGATGACACACACGCGCACACAAAGACTCGCTGCTTTTTGAAGATCTGACTCACTGAAACAATGACCTGCCAACAACAAAACAGCATTTGTTACGACCTCAGCCGGTAGTTTCGTACTCGGGATGTAGTTATTGTGTGTGCGGCGCACAAATCGGAATTTCCTCTTTGACAATCAGAGTAGTGTGAGTCACAACATGTGCTCTCGTTCATTCAAAAAGCTGCTCGGCTCAGTGGATTCCTGCGTGTGCCTCAAACAAATTACTCTCACACATCATTTGTACCCCCCCCCCCTCTGCGTGCTGCGTTAACCTTCTCTCTAAGCTCTTGTTGTTGTGACCAAACTATATGTGCAGTAAATACAAACGTCTCCTTTCTCAACATCGCACGTGAATTCATCAGGTGGGAAATGCAGCCGCTTCTCTCACTCCGTCAAACACGTCGGCTTGGTCAGTGACCCGGCGCGTCGAACCGTTACGACGAGTACACGAGTGAAGCAGGAAGTCCGGTCATCAAGCGTTACTCGGTTGTATTTGTTGTGTCCTGCGAAAGGGGAACTTGATTTTTCTAAATCGGACGGGTTGGGAGCTGGAAGGAAAAATGCTCTTTCTCGTGTGAGAAACAAATATCGGCTGTTAAGTGCCGTTTTTTAATATAAAATGAGGGGCTTTGGACAGGAGCGGCCTTATCGTTTTTAATCCACACGCCAACTTCACAAAGTCAGAGAGAGCTGCGACTCCTGACATCTGGTCCCGGCTGCTAATCTCCACTGACCAATCGGCAAAGGTTCAGGGGATGAGTGACACTCACAGCAGATAAAAAAATAAATAAAAAAAAAGCGTCGATGAATCTCTTTCTTCTATCCCGCCCTTCCTCTTCCCCCCGTTTATCCTCCCTGGTCACGCACAGCCTCTCTCTGCTCTCGCACTCAACCGCTCATTATTGTAATTTGGAGGGTTCTGGGGAGATACGGGGGAAAAGAGAGAGAGAGAGAGAGAGAGAGAGAGAGAGGTTTCTGGAGGTCACAGGCCCGACCCCCCCCCCGCCTTTCCACTCTCTTTCCACCATGTAAATTCTCTCCCCCAGCCGCCTCTCGTTCTATTTTTCTTTTCTTAAAACCGAGAGGAGAGCGTTTGCGTTGACTCGCCTTCAAAGATGCACGTGCTGCATCAAAGCCGGCTGGATTTTCAAACAACGTATCAAGTTTCTGAGGGCTCTATTCCTCCTTCTCTCCTCCTTTGTTCAACCACAGCTGCTGCGTCGTGTCGCAGTTCCATTTTACCGGCCTCTGTCTTTGGGTTTGGGGTTAACGAGTGTTTGTGTTGTGTTTCGTGTTGAATCAGGAGAGAGAGAAGGAAAAAGAGGGAGGTGGAGGGAGGAAGTCCTCGGTTATCAGCTGAAGCCGAAGGAAAAATGGGTGAAAACAGCTTAAAACAACATAATGGATGTTCCAATCAAAGTGTGACCAATTAAGTTATAAGCACGAGGGAAAAGGCCAGAACGGGTCAGTTTAATGGACCGAATATTGTCTAATAGACTTAAAACAAGTCAGAGAAATGAAAGAAGCAATGAAACAATCAATGGGTCCTCGATCCTGAAGGGTTTCAGGACCGCATTTCAAATCATTCTATTGAGTTTGCATTAAATGTGTTCTACAGCTACATCTGCTGTCTGACCGGGGTTCGGTAGCTCTGAGGAGAGCATTTAAGTCTGGCAATTTCCTGGCATTTGTTGCCATGGCGAGATCAGCGGTTTAACATCAGCCTTTTAAGCGAAAAGATATGGATGAGAAGACTATCAGCAAAAAAACATTATTATAGGAAAAACACTGCAAAATGAATATACATTTAAAATACAAACCACATAAAGGTGAAGGGAAATCAATATACGGGCAGAGTCAGTAGTTATAAGAGGAAAGTATTCAGATGCATAGTGCTCATTAGCAGCTGCACAACGCCGTACATAATGTGTGTACATAATGTGTGTGCATAAAATGTCTCATTAGCAGCCAACTGTTATGTCTTCTCCCTCAATGAATTTGACATATGGATGACGAAGAACAACAACAAACTACAACGCAAAATGTCAAAATGTGACTTGTAAAGAATAAAGGTAGAATAGGTCGATACATTGTGAGCGAGAGGCACACAAAAGACGTTTCATTTTCTGGAACCTCGTGAGCCTCATGTAATTGCATTGGTGGGTGGGGTAAATATTATCTCTTCAACCATCTCTGGCCCACCATAAGCCAGCCCCCCCCTGCCCCGCCCACACACACACACACACACACACACACTCCTGTATGGCCCGGAGCTCCAAATCCCTCAGACTGCCAGCCTAAGCAGTACACACACTCACACGCACATTTAGACAAAAGGGGATTAGACTGACCGACACAAAGCTACAAATACACTCACACACAGACAGACACACACACACACACTCTCGCTCTACACCAAAAAGGTATAAACACACACGGCCTGTCTTCTCTCAATCACTTTATTCATTTCTTGTCTTCTTGTCTTGCAAACCCACACTGCATGCAAACTGCGAGCAACACACAGAAACGCACGCACGGCAACACGGAAGCTGTGTGTCTGTGCAGGGAGATGCCCGCATGCAGAATGAAGCGCAGTGCGAATGGCCTGCACAGTGTGAGTGTGTGTGTGTGTGTGCGTGTGTTCTCTTGTGTGTCGCTCCACTGAAGCTAATTTCCTACCTTTTAAGGCGGTTGGCGACTGGCCTCTCTCTCCCCCAGTCTGTCTGTGTCTCTCCACCTGTCGGACTCTCTTGCTATTCTTCCATGATGTCGCCCCCCCCCCCTCTCACATCTCATCTCTCCCTTCCCTCCCTTGTTCTGCAGCTTTGTTTTTCCATTTCGTCTCCCTCCTATCTCCTCCTCAGCACCGTGGCAAGAACCCATCCATATAAGTCATTTTCGTATTGAGCCTGAAAATCTCATTTTTCTTTAACCAAGTGGAGAAATCTGTCAACGGGAAAGATAATCCCACTTGTTTCCAATGGCAAATCAATTTATGTCAAGAATCATTTCTGCACTCAAGTGTCCTACTAGATTCAAGTGTCCTACAGTCTTTTGTGACGAGGCTTTTATCTCCGAGGACATTGATGACAACAAAAGTTGACGCTGGGAATTTATCTTCTCTCTACAGGCAGAGTTATTTATTCCTTGTATTTTTGCTCCGACTATCTGGGTGCAGCTGTCCCCGTTGGCTCTGGTTGGCGTGTCCTTACCCTCGAGTGCGCTGTGGCCAAAGAGCAGCAGAGCCGCGCTGCCAACGCTGGCTCCGCTCCGTCACATTGGAGCATTTTCCCAGAATGTATCAATATCTATTGATTGTTCCCCCCCCCCCCCCCAGTCCTCTGTCCTCACATCCCAACACAACGCCCGTGATGCTGGAGGCCAAGAGGATGGTGCTATGGAAAAAGGAGCGGTGGAGGGAGGGCGGGAAGGGGGGGGGGGGCGTTTGAAATACCTACACACGCGCCACCGCTGCCGAGCGCCATTCTCCTCAAGAGCGGCTGAATTTTGAGCTCTTTGTCAGAGCGCCATAAGAGCATTACGAGTTCGTAGCATGAACACACAAAGCACAAAAAAGGGGGAGGTGGGGGGAGGGAGGGGGTACAGGGCAAATAGAAAAGGGAGGAAGAGAAGGGGAAGGAGATATTTCTATATATATGGCATGAAAGGTGGACTAGGTGATACCGAGGTGAGAACATGTAGCCTTTTTTTATCTTATATTTTTGCTCTCTCTCCAGTTTCCATAATCCCCAAGTGATAAAATGCAGTACTTCCCCTGTGAGGGATTAACAAAAAAAAAGACTATTTCTTAGCTAGCAACAATTGGCATTGTTCAGTAAAGACGGTCGGGCTCGGCTGCGGAGGAGGACGGAGATAAAGAGTGCAAATACAGTTGAGCGCCGGGATTAGACCGACGTATTGTTTCACTGGAGGTCGATGTCTGAAAGCATCCACCTCGGACTCAATGGAAAATCACTGGTCGTTGAAACGGAATACATTTTTGCAATAACTGGTTTTGTATCACATTTCTGAACAGATAAATAGTTCCGAGGGCAACTTGGAGGATTCCTCCAGCAGCCGTCAGTCCATTAAATCCCTCTTAAGGTCTAGCTTCAGTTCATTTGGTCTTGGCAAGAAAAAGGAGAGTAAATATGCGGCAATGTTTTGTGTCGGATTGAACTCTAGGGAGCGTCGGTATGATGAGAAATGTTTTGGGATGTGTAAAGAGAAAAATGAACAGCAGGTGCTGGGACATACAGGTTTAGAACTTGTAAAATGTGTGTTTATTTGTGACTGTAAGGAGTCACTTTCCATGCTCTGCACGTCTCACTCACCCTGGTATCGAACGGTCTTGCGTGGGATCGGGTTCCAGTTGAGGCCCATCGACTTCTCCCATCCAACCAGAAACACCAGCAGCAAGAGCTTCGTCCCGCCCATGGCCCCCGTATGCGCTCCCATTCGTTGGACCTGGCGTTGCGCGATGGATCCGGTGATAAATCAGTCGATGAGACGGCCTGCCGGGGAGAGAAAAAAAAAAAACACATCAGCAGCAATTCACTCCCCTTATTGGCTTCGTTGTTCATCACAAACTATTCCGTCAGAACAGCACTACAAGTTGCACATCCTTCAAAAAGCCGTGCGCAATGCGGCTCACGCATTCCAGCTGCACAGAAAGAGAGATTTGTCTCCTCAAAAAAAAACACCTACTATAAAAGTCACATTGCCATCAAAAGCCACGCTAAAGTAAAACGGAAATGAGTTATTCAAAACATTTAAGCCAATAAGGATGGAGCTGTGATCAGTGCGTCGGCTAAAGCAAAAAAACATTTGAATGACTTTAGTGCGGGGGTTACGCGGGGAAGTTCCCCCCCCACCCCCCCTCGCTGCGAGCGATAATCCAGCTATCGGAGCTCAGAAATACCTTATCGCCGCGCTCTTGTCAGGCCAATTCAGCAGCAGTGTATTAAACTGGGGCAGAGTTATCAAAGTTAATTGGCGCTGGCAATGCATCAAACGCCAACGTGTTGGGAAATAAATGTCAAAGCAAGGGCAATCCAATAGCACCGTGCTGTAAATGAATTGGTTTGTACCTAATGAACGTGTCAAGCGTGCTGCCACAGAGCGGCATTACAGCCCAATAACAGCACAGGATGAGCGACTTATTAAGGCGCCGCACGTTAGGCCGACGCACAAAGTGAGAAGAGGAATTCCACTTAAGAATAGTACTTACGTGGAGTTTTTTTTTTTTATACGCTTGTGAGGAGCTGGCAGCCCTCAGAACTTGTAATGTACGTCACATAACGATTGTGCGTGACCTTCAATTGGTTGCATAAATGCGTTACTTATGGACGGAACATGCCACTTGTTAAATCATTGTATAATTAACCATAAACAGCCTGGGGTGGATTCATTTCTTTTCATCGCAGTGTTTTAAATATAGTCTTAAATTGCGTTGGATTGGTGCCATCAATATATTTCCTGCAGCCACCTGTGCTGATAAACACCCCTGATTATGGATGACAAGTGGGAGATTTAGAAACAGATTACTATAATTATTCCTCAGTATCTGCTCGTGGATGGTATTATTTATAAAACTATAGATACACTCAGTGATGCGTAGTCATGGAGATGTGAGGTTTCTGCTGCTGGGCTGAACGGACTGTGTTTGTGTCGATCGCAGCTGCGAAATACGACATCAACACCAGATACTGTCCCAGTTACTAAACGCTTCAAACAAACTAGATTGTGCAACTTGTAATTTGACTGCATCTTGCAGAAAAAGTGTTTGCACCTCTTCTAAACTAACAACGGTAATATGTTTACTTCCTCTTGTCTTCTGTCTTATGCATGTTTCTGTTGTTTTATCTCAACACAATTAAGAGTGCAAATAGGGAGATGCATTTCTCCCTGAGTGTATTATTCTATTACTGGTGATGAACTTGAAAATGGTTACTTTGAAACAGCAGGTGGGATTATCAGATTGTCTCTTTTCGGTTCCAAAAATCATCTCAATTGGGCCAAACACGGTTCCGTTATGCAATAAGCACTTTGGTTGCCGCGTAATCGACAAAACATATAAACCTTTGGGTAAAAAGTAATTCCAATCTCCCCGAGTACCTGCACGCGACACTGTGTGCAACATTTAAATGGCATTTTTAAATGCTGCTAGTACGTCAAAAAAGAAGATTCCGGTCACTTCTTTTCAAATGGCAGCAGAAATCTCTGATAAGTATATTCACAAAACATCAGCACTTAAAACTGAAATTATCTCTCTGGCTGGATAGCGCCTGGTGTGGTGAAATGAACCCCCCCCCCCGCCCCCCCCGACTATTTTCTTCCTTTTTGTGGGTTTAATTTAGATGTAAAGATGACCTATAGTAAATCCGCTGGGACTCCAACCTACTGACCACATTCCGAATCACGTCTAATTACTCTGACCTAAACACTAAACCAATTACTGACCTTTAACCCGACCACTGCACAAATAAATCACCATGGATTGTTCTCAATGCGCTGGCATTCTGTTGAGGACCAAAAAAACCTCAAAATAATAATAAAAAAAAGACATACGCGCAGAGAAAATGTGCCCGGTGCACCTGCCACTGCCGGTCGGAAAGGGAAACGGCCCCTTTGATGATGCACTCATTGCAGATGGGAATGTATTGATTTTTAAACAGGCACAAAATGCCAAACCGCATTTACTTTGAGCCGGCACAAAGACCGAGAATACCTCGAATCTCTCCCTCTCCCCCATCGAAGTGCATAATAAATTCCAAAATTTGAAGCTGTGTGTGTGTGTGTGTGTTCACGTCGAACCAATTTGACTGTTATTGACAACACTTTTGAGGGGAACTCCCCAGATCGGGGTCATGGCGGCGTACTGTTCAAAGAGCGCGTGCTTAAAAGCTCGGTTTGGAGGGGCCGGGAGGGGCGGGGGGGGCACCTCGAGCCTCGCAGTGCCGACCGCCGGCTTTTATGGATCGATTCTGGTGGCCTCGCCGCCAGACGCTTGAGTGAGCCGAGATTGAGATTGAGATTGAAAGGTGAAAAGGGAGGGCGAGCGAGGAACGGAGAGCGGGATGAAGGGTTGAAAGAATGACAGAATTGGACGAAGACAGAAAAAAAAGAAAAAAGCACGTCAAAGGAGGCTTACGATTTTTTTTTTTTTTCCTTGTTATCCCTCAACGTCCATCCTTTCATCTCTATGATGAGAGGTAAGCAAGTGAAGTGGCAATCCTGCAGGCCGGATTAAGTGGAGAGGCGGCGTGTAAACACTACAGAAGAAGACGAGGAGGAAGAGGACGGCCGGGAAGACAGAAAAACAAGGTGTCTGCCTGAGAAAATGCTTCAAATCTCACAGCACTGTGATTTCCTCTTTTCTTCATGTCTCCCCCTGTTTCCTCCTCTCAGTCCGTCAGCGTAAGTGTTTATCAATATTACCAAAGCGTTAAACCAAATGTTCATTTTAATATCCACGAAACCATAAAATCCCAGTGAAATACTATTAGTGGCGTAAGACAATTATTATAAATGTCCCTGTTTGCTGGCACTACTGCAGCGCCAGAAGGACGTATCGTACAGAACAGGATGGCAGCACAACGACGACTTCAGAATAAATGACTTCTTAATGGTTTGATTTATTGACTGCAGTCGGAATGTGATTTCAACAACAAAACAGTTCCTAAAATATATTTATCACCAAAAAATGAATGTGTGGATCTGTCAACAATACAGCAACGCAGATTGCACCATTGGACAGGAGAAATGTATCTTTTGTATGTAAAGCAAAGAATCTCACACTAAGCAGGTTGTTTACTTGCCGTTACTACAAAGTGAAAGTAGCAATAAAACATTTAATTAATGAAATATGTGGTTTCCAGGAAAAGCCGTACTGGAGTAGAACTGTAAAAACCCAACAAAGGATTATCCTTCAGTTGGGTGTGATTCATTTAGCTGCTTTAATAGCATGAAAAAGAGGAATTTCAAATGTGCCAAAACAGAAACTTTTCAGGAACAACCGTCAACTAAAAACAGATGACTACCGAATCGATTTCTTTTCGGTGTTGCTTCTCTTCGCTCGTCGCCAGCGTGCATCTCAAATTGCACAATGAATCTGCGGGCCACATCAGCGGTGGGGGGCGGGGGGGCTTTATGAACGCCAAGCGGCCTGTGACGCATTCGTCTTTGTCGTCTTTCCTTCAGACTGACGCGGTCCCTCGTTGTGTGGTGAGACGCCGGGTCGCAGCAGTTCCTGTGGTGTCACGTAACTCTGCAGGTGGCGTCACATCGTCCTTTAGCTGCTGGTGTTGTTGTTGAGCCTCGTTCGGCTAATGAGCTGAGACACGGCGGCCTAATAACATCAGTCGGCACTCCACAATGCAGAGCTCATTAAAATGTGGAGAGAAATGGGCCACATGTTCTGATTAGCTCGCCGAGCTCCTGTGTGTGTGTGTGTGTGTGTGTGTTTCGGCTGTGCGCGTGGATTCGTTTATGAATAAGAGCGAGTGTGTGTGTGTGTTTCAGTGTGTATTGGGGGCGGAGGGGGGGTAGGATGAGGCCCTGTAGGGGGTAATAAACCAGGGTCGTTTCTTCGAAGTGAGCGGATGTCGGAGGACAAAAAGGAAGACGTTTTTTCAACCGTCCTGTCCTATTTTCCTTTATCGTCTCTGTTTTCTGTGTCCTCTTTCTGCCCTTCATGTTCCCACCACTCCTTTCCTGGCAGCCTTTTCCGACACACACACACACACACACGCACACACACTCACTGACCTCTGGTGCAGTCCCAGCTGATTGCTAGTCCTTCCAGGCATTGTTTGACTTTTGACCTTTGTGGGTTAGGGGGCACAGGGCGCATCAGCTACCGCCCTCCACTCTGGCTTTCACACTGGAACAGACCTAATGTCCATTAACTACCCCTACACACACATGAACGCACACACACACACACACACACACACACACACACACACACACACACACACACACACACACAAACACTCACTCACGCGGACAGACGGACAAAAGGGCCGATCCCGCCCATCATCCCCTCTCTCTCGCTCTCTCCTTGCAAAACAAACACAGCAGCTACCGGCAGCTCTCTTCCTTCCTTCCTTGCTTCCTTCCTTCCTGCAACCCCGTCCCCTCCCCCGGCTCTCCACCCATTATTGCTGCGGGAGCGCTTGAAAACACACACAAATACACAGGAGCGGTTACACCTAAACAGAACAGACTGGATCAAACGATTTCACACCTTGCGGGCGGCGGGATGAGAGCGGCCCCGGGACGTTTGCGCTCCCTTTGAATTCAGGGAGGTCGGAGACGCGCTTGTGCGTGAGTGTTCGGACGTGTGCGAATTTCTGTAGCTGTTTTTCGACATACATTCAGTTGAAAAGTATCCCAACAAACTAACTGTATTGTGCAGAAATCTGACACAGACCATGAAGCCAATTATTAACTGTTATTAACTCTCTACGATGGAGAATAATTGCTTGTAAAATGTCTCATCAAGTACAGG